CCCCCCTCACCTCCCCTCCTCTCCTTTCCCGGGTGAGTGCAGACACTCTTCCCCCGTGTAACATTCCACACTCCGTGTCGGTGCGTCGGGACATGGCATTCAGTGCATCCGGACTTTATGCCCGCCGTGGCGTCCTGATGCGGCCCGTGCAGAGGCCGGGCGCGCAGAGCCGGGCGCCCCGCGCAGGCCCCGTGTGCCGCCGGCCGGCAGGCGTCCCATAACCGTCCGTCTTACATCGGGCCGTCTGGCCACACGGGAGAGTATTGTACAGAGCGCCGCAAACACAGGAAAAAAAGGGGATGTTGAAAAACCTCGATGTTCTCGAAAAACAAAAAAAATGGATGTTTTGGAGAGCAACACGGGTTTTAATGGAGCAGCATTGATGTTAAGTAAAAGCAATATGCTCGGGAAAGCAGGGATTTCACCGAAAATGACATTGATTTTGTCACGGATATTGTGGAAAGCAAAGTTGATGTCGAGGAAAGCAACATAAATTTTGAGGAAAGCAGCATGTATGTTGAGAAACAAGAACGTTGGTTTTCTCATGAAACTCAGGAAAGTTATCGCTATTTTACAATCTTTCGCGTGGATCGTCTTTGTATTTCTGATGGGAGTTGTTTTACTGATCACTAGATGACCGTTCAGTACCGAACAATACCGGCGTACCTCCAAAATATGACGTCATATCCTCCGGTCAGCGACAGGTGAGAGGTCAGAAGGAGTTGTGACGTCACATCTTGGAGGCACGCGGTTGTTCTTCTGGACGGTCGAATCCTCGTGCACAATTCTTTTGTGGCCCATGTAGGGAGGCGGCTGAAAAACCCCGTGGGACCTCGCAGTTATACTATCCCGCCGTGCACGCGTGGGGTCGCGTTGCCTACCCACCAGGGGCCATGGCAAGAGACGGAAAGCAAATCCGCTCGCAACGCCTCTGGGATCGTCCAGAAAGTACCGCGCCTGCGAGGCACCGGATAGGCCACCCCGCGGTACACGCCTGCACTGTAGACTGGATGTTGCCTACTGATCAGGCGCTATGGGACCTTGCATAGGCTTAACTTGGCATGTTCGTAACGGCGATTAACGGACGTACTTTCTGGATGATCCCTCCTGAGTGCCACTGTGAACGTGGTGGTTGTAGCGTAGGTGGCCACCCTAGCTGGTCGGGCGTGTGGACACCTTATGGTCGTGCGCGGCGGGCGCCTGTGCTGGCCACACGTCCGTTCGTATCGGGTGACAGTCGGACAATAAAGGGCGACCTTTTAGCGGCTCCACTGACCAGTGATGGTGTGGCGCGAGAGATGCTGTTTCGCTCCTCTCTCTCTCCCCCCTCTTTCGCTCACACCATACACAGACGCGTCCCTCTCCCTCTTCACATCACGTTCTCTCTCTCTCGCTCGCACACTCTGTACGTACGCGACAAAGGACCTAACTCTTTCGTAGGAATCCATCCCCTTGGGAGTGTGTGTGTGTGTGTGAGTGTGTACCAGCAGTTATTGCAGTACGCTCCCAGCACACGCGCAACACACATTTCGGTCTTGCACGCGTCCGAGGTGGCAAAAGGCACCGGGCACGAGCTTCGGACGCGTCCCTGGTGATAGCGCCGAGTGAGAACTCGCGTACCTCGATCGGTACCGCCGCGAGCCTCTTGTTTTTATTTTTCTTTGCTTCCGTCATTCGGACGAGTGGCAATTTCTGATGCCTCCTCTCCGCCGCGGCCCTCCTCGTCCTACTCTTTGGCTATTCTTTGTCCCCCCTCCGCCCCTGGTCGGTCTAGTTCAGCAGACAAGTCTAGGCCTATGGGGGAGAAAGAGAGAGAAAGAGAGAGAGAGGGATAGGGGGGGAGAAAGAAAGAGAGAGAGAGAGAGAGAGAGAGAGAGAGAGAGAGAGAGAAGAGAGGGGCGAGAGGAGGAGGGGGAGTAGTGAGAGAGGAAAGGCTGCCTCGCTCGTGTTAATGTTACGCGTCGAACGAGGCAGAGCTGCGGTAGCAATTCGTCCAAACGCCCCTAGTAGCACACACACAGACACGCTCTCTCTCTCACACACACACGAGCCCACAGCTGTACTGTACCGCCCTCCCATGTCGGCTCCGTAAATCCGTACAAAGTGCGCAAGTAAATCGAGCCGGCGGACACAGCAAGGCGCTGTCCCGCAAAGTGGTACCGGCCCTCCCGGCCCCCCGCCCCGCGCCGGGCTCAAAGACGGCGATGGGTTTAACACGGTCCTTTATCTCTCGGTATTAAAGTTCGATCTGGCTCATTTCTGTGTGCGCTGCAAAGTCGCGCGGGGTAAGCACTCACTATAATATCTTGCATACCTCGTCTTGGAAGTTAGTGCGTTTCCAGTACATGGTGATTTTCTCGGAGTTGAAGTTGAGCCCTTTTTTATTATTTGTTCAACCGAAACCACAAAATCCAAATCAGCTTGGTCGTATTTTGTATTATACCTTCTGAGAGGTGGCGCCCGAGTACACACTGCTAAACATCCGTGGAGCTGGTGGTGCTGCCGGACCGGCTGCGGCTCTGCTGTCCTTGATTACTTTCATGTATTAATTAAATCCAAACGGAATGGCCGATCTGGCACGAGTATCATTCTCTCGTCCGCCTCTCATTTGTTTAATCAGCCCGGCGATATATGCAGCTAATAAATATCCAGGGGATAAGCTGCTGCTGCTTCTGGCAACCGGTGGCACAGTTCTTTTCACGTGTGGATTCATCCAAAGTCTTGTCGATTTACGGACGATTTTAAGTCTCATAGGCGAATTGCTTTGCAGAGGATATATCACTCGCTCACTCTAAATACGCGCATGTGGGCATAAGTGTGTGAGTGTGAAGTTCAAAGGAAAATTCACATCTTCACTCCAAGTGTACGAATTCACAGACAGAGATCAGGTGTGCGACATTCACACGCTCGAGTTTCCGGTGCATATCTAGATAGTTACGTATGCTGATGATGTTGTCAAACATTAAGAGCTCTACAAGCAATCAGCAATCGACGGCACACTTCAGGTCAAGTAGTGTTTCTTTTTTCGTCCTTGCAAAAACCTTATTATTTTCTCGTGTAGTTGCAAAGCCGGCTTGCATTCCCTCGGCCGAGCCGGGCTGCCCTCTGGTGACCGCGCGCGGCCAGCCCGAGGAGAAGGCCGGCGAGGAGGGCCAGGCCGACCCGGGCAGGTTCGATAAGCTGTCGGAGGTTTGTTTCCCCGTTGATCTGTTTATCGGGGGCGTGACGCGGTTTGGTGTTGTGCGTACGACGGCATTAGAGAGAGAGAGAGAGAGAGAGAGAGAGAGAGAGAGAGAGAGAGAGAGAGAGAGAGAGAGAGAGAGATGGGGCTTGCGCACCGGCGTGCCATCCATAGCAACATGTTGCATGGCCGCTGCCGTTCGACTCGTAAAACCTCTGGTGGCGCCGTGTACAAAAGCACCGGTGCTGCACAGCACTGTCCGCCTGCCCGCGGCGGCAGGGTCCTTCCAACGCCTCCTCGCACTCAACTGCGAGGTTTAACACGCGCTCGGACGTGTTAAGTCGTTCTTGTTGTTGTTGTCCGTTCGACTCCCGCGCACGTACGGCAGCCGTATGTTCGCGACCGGAACCGGAACTGCCGAGCGACGCGACAGTGAGCACGCTGCTGGAGCACTTTGTGTCCAGCGAGTCGGTTCCATTTCACGTAACCAGTCAGGTGCGGCGTGTTCAAGGATGTTGGCTGGGGAAGACCGGGGGAGGACAGATGCAGTTTTGGGTTGAAATGGAGACGCGGCGCATGCGTCTTGCTAGATCTGACGGGTGAGATAGGCGTTGCACTGCCCTGCACGAATGCATCTGCCGCTACCTGTTGTAGAGCGCGCTGTCAACATACCGGGCGGGCGGGCCGAGCGGGTGGGAGCGAGGGGGTAATCACTACTGAAAGTTGGTGTACACATTTCTGTAAAAGGTAAAGTGAAAGTGACAAAAAGTTGAATGAAAGCGACGAAAACTGAAAGAAATTGTGAACGAAAGTGACTAATCTTGCGTTGATCAAATCAAAAATGAATAAATTAGAGGGGACATAGGCATAGAAATGAAGTAAACGTTGTAAAACGGTGAAAAAGTGAATGAAAGTGGAAAAGTGAAAAGTTGAGGTGTGCGCATTTTCACGGAGTGATTACCCCCTCGGGTGGGAGGGCCGGGCCGCGGAGGAGGCGCTGTCAAAACAGGTGCCCGTTTATCCCTTCACGAGTCTCGGAAAGTGATTAAATGGTGTCCAGGACGGCCCTACCCGCCGCACGCCACACCACGCTGCGCAACGCTCCGTAGTGTGCATGCGCAATTTGCCCATACGATTTCGCGAGAAGCCAAAAATTAGAAGTCTGTCTATTCAAAAGAAAAGCATTTAGATTTTTTCCATTTATTTTCTGTTGCAGCTGAGCTAAAGATGGATGTCGTTCGGGAGCGAGAGTTGAAAGAGAGCCTCGAAAGACAGCTAGTTGACGAGACGCGCACACGAAGTAAGTCTGCCTTTATTTTTCCGCCTCAAATATAATAATTGAGCCGAACGTAAAACTATAGCGACTATCGTTTTGGGTGTGGAGGTATCCGCTGCTTGTCGATGCATTTGGGGCACCCGCAACACAACACCCCCCCCTCTTCCCCCTACACACTCCATATCCGATGCCCGCACTGGATTTAGGCGCATTGATAAAACTGGTAGGAATATCACTTATATTGCATTATTTTCCTGAGCGCGCGCGCGCTGTTCTGAGAGGAGGCTTGACGCGTTTCGCTTTCACTTCCGGTGTGCAAGCGGCGCGCGCTGAGTGCGTACACACTGCGTGTGATTTCATGCGCCATCGGGCAGCATTGACGACCGCGCAGAGGCACTGTAAAAATATTACCCGCAGTTGGAAAATTAATTAATTATTAGTGTCATTGGTTTACCGTGCATGTTCTAGAGACACAGTTTTAGTGTTTTCTTCTTTTTTTTGGTTCTTGTTCTTTTCTTTGTGAGGGGCCGGTGCAATAATTTTGTGTCTTGGCGGTGGGCACTGCGCCTTTACCCGTTCGGCCTTATGACCACATCGCGCGGCGACCACTGCGACACAGGAAAGGGTTCCGCTCGACCAGCGGTCTGTGATTGGCCGGCTGTCGTTTTGAAAAGGCCATCGGCGACGCCTTGGCGCGGCGCGCTCCACTTCTTGTTTAAAAGCGCCCGTCATTTCCTCTCCCAAATCGGTTTTCATATCGGACGACGCCGCCCGCGCCTATTCAAATTTTCGCGCCGGGGGAAAGGTACGGTTGACAAACGAGGGGCTCAGCACCCCGCGGCATCACCCTCCAGTGAACCACGATGTTGTGTTTTTATGCGAGTACGTCATGGAATCCTTTGCACAAAAGCGTCCGGCGGCCCCCGCGACGCTCACCAGCAGCGGAAACGCCTGTTTTGCCGCCAGAGCGTTGGATGATGACGGGCAGCAACGTCTGAATGTATTTCACTCAGGAAGTACTTTGGTTTTTTGTGTGTGGGCACGGTGTTTTTAACCCATCCCAAAAGTTTAGCTGTTTCGTTTTCACACAGTTAAATTTTTCTGAATTCGACTTCAAAAGTGTACAGCGTGACATTTTTCAATATATGGATCAGGTCGCACTTTGTGCTACAAAACCCCTTGTACGAAGGAAGTACAAGGAACCCTCGGCAACCCAGGCGACTCCCTCTGTCAGCCGGACCTACTTAAACGGCGCCTGCGCGCCCGCCCTTTGGAAAGGGAATGCCAGCCAGGGGTGCCAATCGAATTGGGCCTGACCATAAGCAAGTGGGCCTTGGTCGGGCGACAGCCTTCTCTCCGGGCAATTAGTCCCGGGCCTGGGCGGCGGGGCCGGGCCGACCGTTTGTGTTGGGCCTCTCTTGCTGTGGCTCCGCGTTTGGCTGGGCAGGGCTTGGGCGGGCGGGGCACAAGTAGACGACGACATTTCCACAAAGGTCAGGACGGCTGCGGCCGTGCACAATAGGGGCTGGGCGATAAGACGCACTTACAAGGGAACCCCGCCAAGTGTAAATTCCCGATTTTCATTCTACTTTGGGAAATTGTTGGTCTAAATATGTCATCGAAGGACACGTCAAAGATTTTTGCTTAAATTCATATTTAGGGGTCATTTGGGGTATTTGTTCAAAAAGCTGCTATTTCAATTATTTTTTAAAACTTTCAAGAATGCTTCCTAAGAGGTAACTCGTCGAATTGCGGCCCTCTGGGCGAAAATTTCGTCCGTTTTGCTCTATCTAAAGCCGTTTAGGCGCTACCGCCACGTTTAGGAGGGGAAATGTACGGGAATCACTAGGGCTTAAGAGAAGCGGTTGTAAAAAGCAGTCCCACAAAAAATGTTATAAAACAAAAGTTAGAGAGCTTTCATTTTTCTACAACTTTTGTTTTATAACATTTTTTGTGGGACTGCTTTTTACAACCGCTTCTCTTAAGCCCTAGTGATTCCCGT